ATGCTCTTCAATTGATGACGCCAACGTGAACAAGGTGTGATTGATGTAATCTTCTACGGAGTTATCCACTTATGGATTGAGGTTGAAGAAGGTGGATTGATGAATATCCACTAAACTTTGATTGTCGTAGAGGAATCCACAATCCCGATCTGGATCGGCCATGCACTAGTCAAGGGGTTGTCGATGGAGGGAGGTCTTCCTCTTTATTGGAGCGTAGTTCATGAGGCAAAAAGGTTTCCACGAGGTGGGAATGAAGAAGGGGCGGCTAAGGGAAGAGGGGCTTGCTTTTGGTGGAGTTAGGGTTTGGGTTTGGGTTTGGAGAGAGAAAGTAATACAAAATTTGAAATTAGTTTCAGATTTTAGTAAAATAAGAAAATGAAATTAAGAATTTGAAATTTGAAAACCAAATTCAAGTGGAGGGAGATTAAATAGGAAAGAGGAGGGAGATTAATTAGGAGAGAGGAGGGAGATCCCAGGGAGGGGCTGACGGCGTGCATGGGGTTGGGAAGGATTTGAATCTTCAATTTGAAATTCAAATTAATTCCAATAAGAGTGGCTTGATCGTCATAACTAATAAAAAGAAACACAAATACAAATCAAAAATAAAGTCTTCTGACCAAGGTTGTCGCTCTGCGCTGCTACCGATGATAGACATTCCGGAATCTCCTACTGATGTCTGATGTCCTCATTACCAGACCTCTACGACAAATGAAAACCCACACATGACTAATATAAAGTTCTTGACTCGAATACTGATTAAGCAAATTTCATGTTGTTAGGTCTCGCTAGTTACTATTGATTAGAAATTAGATTCCAACATGCAGTTTATCATATAGCTTCTGCAGGACAATGTAAATTGATCATGCATGTAGAGATTTATGCTAGAGAATAAATAAAAACAGCAAATTTAAACTCCAAGGAAATTTATCAAGACAAGAAATTTAGGCAATGCAACTACGCAGAAACAAGAAACTTGATTAGTAGCGACATTCATAATTTAAAGGGAGTAAAGTAATTAAAACTCTGAGAACATGGGTAGCTAGAGTCCCACTTTTAATTTAGGATTAGTGCAAATGAAGTCTAAAGCTCTTGATTAAGAAAGTAGACTAAGAAGATTAGTGGCTACACTTGTTTGATGCTACTTCGGAGGGGAGGATAAGATATCTAGGCTAAACAGTAAATAAGAGAAGATGTAAGACACTTATCTTGCTTGGACGTTGAACAAAGTGTTGACGAAGAGGCCAATAACTCCCTTGGTAGACAACGACTTTTGCTGAATCTTTGAAAGGAATCCTCTATGGTGACTTTGGAGGACAACGTTTACTGATTTAATTGTTTTGGGAAGGGAGAATGTTGTTTAGACTGTTAGTGGAGGCTAAAGGGATGGTGGAGGGTCTAATGGAGCAGTGTGGAGTTTTCTAATGAATGGAAAATGAGTGAGGAATTGTTTTGGCTGTTTTGGGAAGGGGATATAGTGGAAAACGTGGTTTAGTGACGGTTGGGATAAGTCGGCAACAGGTTTGGGGGAGTTGGAAGGTTATGTGACTTTTATTTAATAGGAAAATGAAGAGGGGCTTTGGGAAAGGTAAAAGATAGCACTTTAACTTTTGGGAAAAAGTTTTGGAGAATACGAAGAGGCTTGTATTTAATAGGGAAATGAAGAGGGGCATTGGGAAAGTTAAAAGACAGCACTTTAACTTTTGGAAAAAGGTTTTGGAGAGTACAAAGAGGCTTGTATTTAATGGAGAAATGAAGAGGGGCTTTGGGAAAGTTAAAAGACAACACTTTAACTTTTGGGAAAAGGTTTTGGAGAATACGAAGAGGCATAAGGTGACTTTCCAACTTCCAATGAGGATGTTGTAAAAACAAAATTTTGTTGGCTGTTGGGAGGGGAAATTTCTTTTTTTTTTTTTTTTTTTTGAAGAGGAAGGTCACCAAAGTGGATGTTGGGTGGTTGGTTACTAGCACTAGGAGGGAAGGTAAACAGAGGGTTGTTGGTGGGGTTAGAAGGCTTTGGACAGCATGTTTCCAAGCAGAAATTTGCTGCAGGAGTTTGGGAACGTCGGTTGGGAGTAGGGGAAGGGTTCGGTTGGGAGTTGGGAAGGAGATGGAGAGACTTAAGAACAAGGATAAAACCAAGAGCCAATAGTTGTTGGGTACTTCACACTCACACCACTAAACTAATCTTTAGCAAGCTACTTAGAAAGAAGAAAACTAAGCTCCAAAGGTAAAAACGTTTTCAGCATTCATTAACCAAATTACAAAGGATGATGGCTCCTATATATAAGCCCCAAAAGTAGAAAAAACAACAAGACCAAAATACCCTTGGTCACCAAACATAGCATCCCCTCACATGAGGGTAAAATAGGAAATAAAACAACACAAATCCAAAAGATCAAATAAAACAAACTACATATACAATGACTCAATCACGGCCGCTGATCTCCGACCTCAGCGACGATAAACTTTCCATGACCGGATGGCCCCATCAATAGCTCCTAATGCATATTATACACGTATAGTTTTTTAGTTACAATAAAAAGTTGTATTTATATGGAATTGGTCGTGCAGTCGTGCCCTCGGCATTTAGTGCCTTACATCTTCCACACACGACATGCTCGAATGTCCACTTCCTATGAATATACTATACTTGGAAGATCCTAGTAAAGTTTACCCGCTTTTAAATTCTATTAGACCTTTTCTGCATCAGATAAACTTAATGCAAAAAAGACTGCAAAATAAGTTTCCTTCTCACCCATCTGAAAATTTATGGTAAAAAAAATCTGCAGAATTTCTTTCCTTCATCTACTTCCCCGACAAGTAAGCCATTACTATCAAGCAATAACCCAAGTGTTTGGGATGACTTGCAATTAATGCAAGGCACTTCTACAACAATCCAGAAAATACTACTTTAATTACATCTTCCCCAGCAACTTTTAAGATATTACTTTAATCTTCCTTTAATACCAATTATTGCTGGACGTGACCCTATTCTAAGAAGAGTTCTTTTTACTTCTACATTTTACATTCTATATATTTCTCCCCATACCCATCTTTAGGTATCCTCTTAGCAATGATTTAATAAAAGCCTACATAAGCGCTTCTATCCACACACTCATACTCCAAAACCCCCACTTTCCCCCATCCTAATAATGTGACATGTGTTTTTTTTTATGCCTGTGTCACTTAATTTTGCCTTTTTGGGGCCAGAGAGTTCTTTAAGTAAATAGTTACAAAATTTGCTTTTTCAAACTTCCAACAATTTCCATAAATTACTAATTCCATGTGATTGAGCCTCATGCATCACAGCTTATTTTGTGGTTTCCACAGGTTACTTAAGTTCAACGTAGTTAAGCAAACTTCAATTTGCTTCTCTATTGCAACGTAAGTGAGTAGTAACACATCAAACTTGAAATAAAACCGCTTAAAAAATGGTATGCTCAATCAATTTGTATATGAAACTAAGATATTGCCAATCTCAAACAAGAATACTAAACCATAAAAAACTGAACTGGAGAACACAACCATAAATATTGCCTATTTGCACAAGAAACATTCTTAAAGTTAGTGCCCATGTCAAACTTTGCATATTTTAGGAGTATGCAAAAACAATACTTGAGACCAATTAAGCTGTATTTAGCACAAGTACCAGTTAAATTACTGGGACTCTCACCTGAGGATCCATCCTCATATCTAGAGGCCCATCACCAAGGACACTGAATCCTCTTTCTAAATTATCAACCTGACAAAAAAGTAGCACAATATGAACATGAGAAATTGCAATTCAATCAGAAAAAAAAAACTTAAATTTCTTTTTAAGTCATGAATCAATCACACTTTTTTTATGTTCAATATGATATTGAAGTCATGTTATCTTAATAATGGATGTCTCTTGTTTGGTTTATTGGCTACTTTAGATTGCAAATTGCCTGCATAACCACTTAATATGGCTAGAGTGAATGTTTGTGAAATGTCTAAATCTGCGTGGGTGAGAAATAGATAGAGATGATATGTCCCAGTTCAAATTTATGAAGAACTCGCCAAACTCATGGTAAACTTGCTAAGCTTAAAAAGAACTCTCCGGCTCGTGAAGAAGTTGCCAGGCATATTAGGACATACTCGTTAGGGCCAAAAGCTATTCAACAACTTCCTTCATATAAGTCAACAACTTCGCTTTATCAAGCTAACGGCTAAGCAAAATATTCATCTAAAGTTAGCAAACGATTATAAGTAATTAGGCTACAAGATTCATGTATTTATAGCTAGTTACCTTTAGCTTAGCCATGTAATTTCCCTTATTATGCAACTCTATGAGTAGTCAATCCTATAGTGTTTAAACCTTAACCAAACCTATAAATAAGATGTCAGAGGTGGAGCTCAAGATACGCAATTTTCTGCACTTAAACTGATTTGGTGAAATCCCATATTTTCTCACTCTAAACTCCATATTTCTCTCTTACTATTTGTTCACTTTTTGTGAATCTTCTCAGTAAAATTCTGATATAATTCACAAACAATTCTGGATTCAGCACAATAGACTTCTTAGACAATTATAAATCACTCTAGATAAAAAAAGCCATATAGACAATTACACAAGTTGTTTCATGAGAAAATCCTATCGAGACTCAGTACAAATCAAAATGAATAGCACGAAACTCGATAAAACTCCAAGCATATCACAGTCACTAAAATGGATCAATTAAAAGTAATTGAGTCAATCTAGGCATATTGGGCATGATATATTTTAGACCAAGTTGTTGCTTCCTTACGCATCCTACACTAGATAGGGATAAAGGCCTAACAAAATCCCATGGCATGGTCACATCTAGCATGCCTGATACATCAACCATGACATGTGAGACCAATGGAGGTGATCTTGTTAGGACCTCCACCAACCACCTCAATCCAAAAATGCACAAAACTTCTTCAAACTATCAAAGAGACTACACTCCTTGTTGCCATTCTCCATGAAATGATCTTGCATTACAAGAAATAGCCTCATAATTTTCTTCAACGATGTTGGAGACCAAGATGGCCGAACTTATTGGTAGAGTTATTGCACCTCTTCATAATTTTTCTCACATTTCCAGTGATGAAATTCTTTAATATCATCCCCATTCTGATAACAACCACCCGGACATTGGCTGCAACGCGGCCAGCTGCTACAAGAGGGAGGCTAGAACCATTGAACTCCTTTTATGCTTGAGAAGAAGGCCTTTGGGTCAAGGTCCTTAATTGGATCATTTCAATGTGTGGAATCTAACTATGCCGATCAATTGAGTACTGTTGACTCAGACCTCAATTCCGTCGATCAATATTTTTTTGTATGTACAATCATACAGCACTATGGAGCTGTATGCTAGAGCACTACAACACTTCATAGTCATGATAGAGATAGAGAGTGGTAATGCAGGACTAAGTGAAATAAGTCATGCAATTATAGATTTATGCTAAGATAACATCAAAGACAGCAAAATAAACTTCATAAAACATTAAGAACAATAAGAAAATTTGAACTATTAGATCATGTAATAGCAAGAAACTAACAAGTAAAGGCTAAACATTAAAAATGGGTGAATCAATTTAGACTAGCTAACATGGGTTGGCACAAGTCCAACATTTAATTAAAGGACTAGTCACTAGAGTTTCTGATCGCTCAAATTTAAGTAGGGTTTGACGGATTAATCAACACATATGAGATGATGCTACTATAGATGAAATGAGAAAATTAATATTTAGTTAGATGATGAGCAAGGGGAGGGTTTGATACTTAGCTCATGAATGGAAGGAATGAAGTCCTTGATGAAATGTCGGCAAGTTCCTCCTTAGCTTGCCTTTGAAACCCTTGCTCTTTGTTGAATCGATGTCCTTGTTGCTTTAGAAGAAGCTAGGTTTCCTTGGAAAGGTAGAATAGTGAGGGGAAAAGAAAGTTTCAGCTATATGATGATATGGAAGTGGAGAAGTCAGCTTGGGAAGTGAAGAGGTGGGGTTGGTTGCTTGGGAAAGAGAGAGGGTTGATGTGGCTTGCTTGGGAAGGGAAGTAGTTATATTGGGATAGGGAAAAGTTAGATTAGGAAAGGGAGAGGGCTGATGTGGCTTGCTTGGGAAGGGAAGTAGTTGGCTTGGAAAAAGAAAGTAGTTAGCTTGGAAAAGGGAGAGCGCTGACGTGGCTTGCTTGGGAAGGGGAGTAGTTGTCTTGGGAAAGGAAAAAATCAACATGGGAAAGGGAGAAAATTGAAGTGGAAATGGATCTCCAAAGGTCACAATTAATTGAGATAAATGCTCAATTAATGTGAATTAAATACAGAATTTTGGAAGTTCAAGGGTCAAGGGTGTTGGGGAGAAGGTGGAGATGGTTAGAGAGAAAGAGAAGGGGGTGGCAGTTGCTTGAGAACAACAATTTGCTGCAGAAAAGGGGGGGGGGGCTATTTGGGCGGCTAGAGAAGAACAAAACAAGAGAGAGGGGGAAGATGATACAAACCAAGAGCTTACACGTTGTTGGGTATTTCTTTGCTTTTCTCCAAAGGGCTTCACACACAAACTCAACTCACCAAGAGAAGAGAAGCTTAAAAATAAAAAAAATTATATCAAAATATTCATCATCCTTACAAGAGAACAATGAGCCATAAATATAAGTTTCAAAACATGATAGGAATAAAAGACAAGAAGGCTCTTCGCCAAACAATACAAAAGCTCCCTCAAGATAGGGCAAAACTGTAATAAAATAAATAACACAACATAAATCTCCTACAACATATAAAAACTAAAAATATAAAGACTAAATCAAGGCCGTAGATCTCCGGCCTCTACGGCGATAAACCCTCCAAGCTCTGATGTCCCCATCAAGTGGAGCACTGCAGCACTCCAAACCCTAGCGTCAAGGCACTGCGAGTCGGGCTAAGTATTTTTTCTTCCATTTTCTTCTTATTTCACTTGAATGGTTGCATTCTTTGGATATTTTAAGTGTGTCTCTTATTTGTTTTTAGTATATTAGTGCATCTAAAGTGAAGAGAGGAAAAAAAAGAGTGATCATGATAAGAGAGATCTATACAATTTCTCCCAATTTTCATGGTGGATTTAATGGTGTGGTGCGCTGTGGCTCTGTAGTTTTTTCTCAGTATCGATTTTTTCCACGTTAAATCCTTGTTTTCTTTCTTCTTCTTTGCACTTATTTTTCTTGTTTGTTTCACTATGTGATTATACTTCCTAACAGGTTTAAGCAATTCATCGCATGAGAAAATTGAATATCATTCATCGCACAAATTTTGACAAGAATATGAACTTCCTCATAACCATGAACTATGAATATAATCAAGCAATTTTCAGCAATACAAAAATAATCGTTACAATGAAATTCTCAAATATTTGAGTTATTTCCTTTTGAGGGCCCCTGAGCTTAGCTTCCATCTTTGAGAGCCCCCATCCAATGATCTAAGTTTCATTATTTTTGTTTCCATACTTAGGCAACTCATGCATCCTTCTGTCTCCTACCATTTGTCAAGTTCGAACTCTCAGTTAATTTGAGCAATGAGCACACATGGTCCTTCCTAAGGCGAAAGCCCTCAGATTCGACGTTATTTATTATTGTTGATGTGAGGGGCTCGGCCTCAAGCTAGACTATCCAACTTGAAGAACTCCACCAGCGTCAATATAGCCTTCCAGCTTACCACAACTCTGATTCAATTGATAGCTACTACGAAATTTGAATAACAGTACGCATAACATCGGATTTCAAATTAAGTTAACAAACCACTCCCATATTTCAAGCAGAAACGAGCGAGGGTACAGAGAAAACCTGCATGGATGAAATTCCCAAGTCCATGAAGATGCCATCCACTCCTTCACTAAGTGGATTCTCATCAACACCATCAAGCACAGCCTTTATGTACTTAAAATTCCTCGCATGAGTGTACACTTTCAATTCCTCCCGGCAGCCATCACTAACGAGTGCTTCAATCCTGGTTCGAGCTTTGTCAACGGCGAGAGTATCCACATCCAAGCCCACAAAGAGCTCCAGCTCCCTATGGGCTTCAATAATCTGGTTAATGACAAGCAATCACAAAAAATTAGAAGAGTAAATGAAAATTATGGAGAAAACAGAAGGAAGACGAGAACGATAGACAAACTGCGGAGCTGTGACCGGCAGCACCGAGAGTGCAATCGACGAAGGAGCGCAGCCGAGGTATGCGGAAGGCTTCGAGGACTTCGCAGAACATTACGGGGACGTGGCCGGCAGAGGCGTATCGCTCGTATAGGTCGCGGTCGAACTCGACACCGGAGCGTGTTCGCCGCTTGAGATGTTCAGGCGAAGGAATGCAATTCGTCGGCGGGGCAATTTTCTTGATAGCTAACTTCAGGTTTCCGCCGCGTCGTACCGCGTCGCGAGAGGTGGAAAGGGGTCGCCTGAGTTGAGATCGTTGGCGGGTGTGTAGACGAAATAATGGAAGAAAGAGGTTGTTTTCGCGTGGGTGCAGGAAGGCTGCGCTCTGTGATAAGAGACGGTTAGTCGCCATGCACGGCCCCGCGGCCGACGAACTCGGCGGTCGGACTATAACGCAGAGGCGGTGCGGTGAACCTAATCCAAATCTACTCGGCTGAGGAAAATGGAATCAAAACAAAAAAAAAAGGATTTTAGTTTTGACTAATTATAATTAAGATTTAAAAAATTAAAATCAAATAAAGTACATATCTTTTTTTCCCCCTTATAATACATAAGCTCCTTAATACATCTTCTATCAAGAAATCAACCAAACCTAATTCAAAGTGAGCAAATTTGAAGCCAAAGAGAACATTGAAGTCATTATTCCTAGAACAATTAAGAATATTATTTTGTAAAAAACATATTATTTATATTTTTTAAAAAAACCTGCATTTCATTTAATAAAAATATTTTATTGAATATAAAATATAAATAATAGAAATGATATGTCATCAAAAAATTGTCTTGATCAGGCACGAATCTCAATGTAAATATTTGATTGAGACTTCAAAAATTAAAATCAAGATCATATGAACTCCAATTTCAACAAGCTTGTAGTCAAATTGAATTTCTCAAGAAGAGGAACCCAATGACTCCAAAATCAATTCAATACAAGTTCCAATGGACCCAAATCAAAGGTCTGAATCATACTTGAAAGGTTTAATGCATTAATTGGACGATCAAATGATCATCAAATATGACATGCTTATAGTAGAATCGAGCGGCTCGACGAGACGAATCCAACAAGCATATGATCACTCAATTATGACATCATTAAGTCACATAAAAGCTTGATAGATGCTTAATGATCAAAAGAATCGTTATTAGTCATCCGATGGAACACTTCCAACATGCCCTTGATCTCTCCATATTTGCAAATTAAAGTCATGTTATCCTTAAAAAAATATAAATAGTCCCTCATTCTTCACATGAGGCGATGGAGAAAAAAGAAGAAAATTTGAAAGCTCTTTTGCCATCGACCGCTGTCGGATTTCTTCCCAACCACCGATCGTCATAAATAGTTTTGTTTGTTCGTTGGCCACCGCCAAATTTCTTCCCGACCATCGTTGAATTTATGTTTATTTGTTGGCTGCCAACTGATTTGTTCTCGACTGATGATCGTCATCAGACTTCTGTTCGTTCTTTGATTGCCATCGAAATTCTTCCCGACCATCTACTTTCGCCAGACTTTTGCCCATTTGTTGGCTGTCGCTGGATCTTTTCTCAGCCATCGACTATCACTAGACTTATGCACGTTGTTTGGACATTGCCATCGCCAAACCTCAGCTAAACATTCTCCTGCTTGTTGCTAACAGATTCCCAACATTTGTCATTCATTCGAGAAGTTTGGCAATATCTTCAACATATTGTATTCATATTGTCCCATGAGTTAAGGAACGGTTCGACTACTATAATCCACTTAAACAATAGTGGAATCATTTCAATTGGACAATATCCCATGATTTTCATATTTTTTAGGATTTTTCACATGAAAATCTCGGCGTTTTTTTAATCATTTCAACTACATGTTTGCGCGCAAAATTTTTTTTGCATCGCTAAGACGTAAAATCCTTACACTCTATCACCGCGAATTTTTCAGCCCGCAATAAGAAAAAAGTTTAAAATGGTGCATAGAAATCAAAATGAAATAGACTATGAAATTTTTGTCACTCATTAGTACTCTAATTTTTCTATTTCTATCATAACTTTTTGTTCTATTTTTATTTATATGTCACGTGCTAAATGTAAGAACTAAATTTATATTGTTTTAGTTGATCTTGGAAATTGTACAACAACAACAACAACATCAAGCCTTTATCCCACTACGTGGGGTCAGCTACATGAATCCTTTTTCTCCATTGTGTCCTATTAAAAGCCAAATTCTCGTTTAAATCTAATAAAGAAAGGTCATTCCTAATATTTTCTAACCAAGTCTTTTTAGGTCTACCCCTACCTTTCTTAACACAAGTCAAATCTAATACCTCTACTCTCTTAACTGGGTCGTCGGAAGGCCGCCTTTTTATGTGACCAAACCATCTAAGGCGACTCTCTCTAATCTTATCTTCTACTGGAGCTACTCCAACCTTTTCACGTCAATATTTATCATTATATAAAATATTATTATTTAAAAAATGATATGTGATTCTATTAATTTATTATCCTAATTTTTCAATTTAAAAAATAATCTCATCTTTCACACATTAAACATAAATTCTAATCTTTGATTCGTATAAGAATGGATGAATTATAGGGTTCCATAGAGTTCTAATTTCAGAGGTAGACACATCTAATTGGCTTGCTACCTTTGTCATACTTGGTATGGTTGAGCCCAGCAAATGGCTACAAAGTAGCCACCATTGCCAAAATGATTATGTTTGGTGCGCCAACTGAGGCTAGCAAACCAAGAAGAAGCCATTGGTACTCATGAAAACCAATGGCATAAGAAGCTCAGATTTACTTGCTGAAATCCCCTACACTTTCTACTTGAATTCCATTGGAGGGTGAAACTGTATTGCTAGTGCAAAAGACCCAATAAGCCCATGATAGCTGAAAGGCTCGTCCAAAGCACCGATAATAGTGTACATTTAGGCTTCCTTTGGGAAGACTTTCTTTCTGCTTCTTAAAGCAGCTTCCTAGTATAAAAATTGCTTTAAGAAACAATAAAAAAGCCATCCCAAATGAAGCCTTAACTTGCAATTATTTATATAGTACTTATCTTCTTATGATAGAATGCATAATAATGAATTAGCATGAGATCTTTTACCCATTGTAATTAAATAAGTAAAAGCAGATGCCATAATGACACACGTGACCACAATGTTTTAAATAGGTAGAACTGTAGAAGCGTGTATAATAAATAGATAATTGATTATTATTATCCCCATTTAATGTTTGTCCCAACCCTAAGCACTCATTTTAGTGGAGTTAAAAGTTTAATTTAGTATAATCTTATAAATGTCACACTATGTTGATGAATGAGATATGACACTTTAGTTGATTTGATGACATGTTGATGAACATAATTTGAAATTTCAATCATAAAATGTTGCTATTGGTGACATATGAGTTGATGATATATTGGGGTACACATGCCTCTGATGATGATATGTTGGTGGTCATAACAAGATAGAGTGATGTTAAACATCAACTGATCATGAGTAGATAACTTAATAACATAGTAACTTGAAGAAGGGTCTCAATCATTGAGGTTGAGCAATGTTTTGTTAGTCCATCATAGGTTCATCAATGTAATGTTGGCGGGTCTCACTTTGATAATAATTATGAATAAAGTGAACGATTGAAAGGTTTGATCATCTCTAACATTATTTTGAATTACCTTTTTTTAAAACATTCATTAGATATCACTCAAAGTAGAGTAGAAGAAGAGAATGATGCATGTGTCTAAATTAAGGTGACCCTAATCAAATAATAGCTAACACCTAATCATGAATCATTAGTCTTAGCTTGAATAGCTATGAAGGTTATGACGGTTGTTAAAAAAATGAGTAAAAGATTGAGTTAGTTAAGAGAGAGTGCAATCGAGCATACTTGCTTGTGCAAACACTAGAATATCAAATAAGCCATTCTATGAACTAAGTAAAATGCATTTGAGTGTGTTGATGTGATGAGTCGCTATTCATAATAATTTGGTTGGGTTAGTTTCCACTTGCGGGTCTATTTGAAATGACGTAGGAGTGACAAGTCATGGGGTTGGGAGTTAATCATCGTATCATCTTTTCAAGCAATTATCATCAGTCTAGTAAATAAAATTTCTTCTTATAAATTTATTTAATTGTTTTAGAAAATAAAGCTAAAAAAATATATAATTATTCAACTTCACAAACATTTCATGCCCAGGGTAAATCGTTATAAACTTTGCTTTATATAAAGCAAAGTCCTTCAAATTGCCTTAGGGATGAATGAGCTTGACCAATTTAGAGCAAAATATCATATTCATTTTGTTTGGTTGATTGCTTTGATTCATCTCAGCATTAAGTTATTGAGTTCGACACTTGTTAATCATGGGTGCCTATAAAAGGAATCACATAACTCAAATATTTTTCAGTTATAATGCATTAATTAAATACATTCATGCAATGCAATGCTATTTCAGAAGATTACGAATATGCCTGCTCATTCTGATTAGATATGATAAGAATTTGTTATAAGAACTCGAGATTTACATCACAACCTTCGTAAAGAGCTGTTGGATTTTTTTATTGATGAACCAAATGCCATCACTCGTGATAATTGATAGATGAAAACCACATTAGAAAAATATAATTGAATAGAGTGATTTGATATCAACATCAATGTCCATCTTTGTTAGAGGGCCTTCACTAAAACCATTTTGACATTGACCAAAACTAATAAGAAATATCTATGCTTACTAATCAAGAATATATGACCAATAAAACAAATCCCTCATACAACAAATGACTAATGCTTAATGATTGAGCATTTATGTTAATATATATTTATGGAGCGTCTTTCAACATATTTGATAGGAGTGACATCTTCTTGAAAATGCTACTACATCTTACTTTAGTGCTTTCTAAAAGTAACAAAGAAACTTATCAAATTGCGTTACTCATGATTTTTTGTTGATTGGTCTGTTAAGTTCACAGATGAATGAAGCATGTAGGTTATCGTTCTTTAATAGTGGATCGACTGATTGATTTTCTATCATAGAAAATTACTTCACCTCTGCCACCTCAAGTGGTGGTCCTAAGGATGGTATAATCAATTAGTCGATCCACTATCGAGGACCATTCCTTAGTGGCTCCTAAGGATGGCGTTGACTCCATTAATGTATAATCAATTAGTCGATCGACCATTCCTTGGTGGCTCCTAAGGATGGCGTTGACTCCATTAATGTATTCCATTGAGACATTATCAACATCATACTCATTCATCTTAAAATATAGCTAAGCTGGTTAAATTCCTCTAATGTCACACAATATTGATGAGAGTATACACTTTGTTAATCATCAATGATAGAAATTCTATGTCATAATCATTGATTATATCAATTTAGTAAGTGAGTCAATTGTATAATTTTGATTCATTTAAATGTTATGCTTAAAAGATTATAAGAATTTTTAAACCTATATCTCCAATATTAAATATTGTCGTTGTATTTATTTATTTAATTTGAATTCACTTCTAAAAAAAAATTCACATTATTTCATTTATTTTGTGATATATTTATTTAATATTAATTTATGACCTATTTTCTTAATTAGAACACCGAAATTAGAAAATCAGAAAGAAGAAAAAAATTTATGTATCCATATTATTTAAGAACGAAACATTACTATTAAATTTTTAAAAAATAAGTAGAGTCGAAGCTTAATAAAATTGTTGCGGCCAGGAATATTCGCGACGATAGAGAAATTTTGTTTTGCGTCTTAGCATTGTACGAAGATACATCACGCAAGCATAAAGAGAGAGATCAAGATACCCGATCTTTTTTACGTGGAAAACCCGAAGAGGGAAAAACCACGGGGCCTCGCTCAGGTGAAAAGATTCCACTAAACTTGAGTGAATTACAAGGGTTGACCCGTCCCTCGATTTAGAGGTGGCCAGATTACAGTAATTTGAAGAGTCAGTCAAAGGATCGATGACGGTCAGAAAAAAATACGACAGCTTTTGTGCAGAAGTTTGGCTGACAATGAACGATCCGACGAAGGTCTGGCGTTGAACGGCATCCAGGCAGTGGTCAGGCGATGGCTGGGCTGAAGTCCAACGGCAGTCAGCGGCCAGGCTGAAGTCCAATGGCAGTCAGCGGCCGGGCGGTGGTTCGGCGATGGTCGCCGGCGACACCGCGACAGGCGGTTGCCGGGTGGTCTGGCTGCAGGAGGCGGCCGGGCAGTGGTGCTAGAGCTCTTGAAGCTTCATAGCTCTCTCAAATCTCCAGCCCCCAAGGTGCCCCCTCGTATATAGAGTGGGGGTCTATTTATAGATTTTCATGAGTGGCACCCCGTAAATTTAGAGAAGATCCGGGGTACGTTTAGAGTGCTCCATCGGATGGCTCGTATTGATTCCCCGATCATAGAGAGTTTTTCAACTGTTTAAGTGCCTTAATAGTGTCGGAATTTAGAGATCTTGGGCTCGTTGGATTCGTCTCGCCAAGACGCTCGATTTGACTATAAGCATGCCATATTTGGATATAATTTCATTATCCAAATAATGCTTTAACCCTTCCAAATGTGGTTCGGGCCCCCGATTAAGACCCATTGGGGCTTGGGTTGGACCAATTTTGGTGTTGTCTTGTTGGGCTCTTTGAGATGCTCAATTTGACTATAAGTTTGCTGAAATTGAAATTCAGATGATCCCAAATTTAATTTTTAAAGTTTCCAACTTGAATATGCCTCAAGATTCGTTTTTGATCAAGGTAATTTTTGAGGACGTATCAAAAATAATAAAAAATTAATTTATAACTAGGTGTCCATAAGACTATAACCAAATAAAATATATTAAGGAGAATGATTTAATATATTTGCAAGATTTTTATCCTTTGTTATGAAGTTAGTATAATTTTTTTTTCTATTTTTAATAATTGTTGCGTGCTAGAATATATGCAGCGATAGAGTTTTAATTCTACGTCTTAGCGTTGCATGGATATCTAACTCACACACAAAGAACACAATATTTTTTATGTGGAAAATCCTTGAAAGGAAAAAACCATTGGGCATAGCCTAGTTGAAAAGATTCCTCTATAATTTGAGTTGCGTACAATAGGATGACTCGTCCTTGAGGGCGATATATTACAAATGTCAACCGTATGGTTGAAGTCTAGTGTCAAATATGGCGTCACTTAAAAGTTCAGGTGTCAATCAGTAGTTCGACAGTGACTTGGTGGAACTTTGGCATTAGTTGGTAGTCCAGCGGAGCTCAGGCCCTTAGATGGTCCGACGGAGTTCAGGCCCTCAAGTAGTCGTCCGGCGGAGTTCAGGGCCTCAAATGGTGGTCCGGTGGAGTTCAGACCCTCAGGTGGTGGTCCGCCGAAGTTTCAAGCCCTCAGGTGGTGGTCCGACAGAGTTTAAGCCCTTAAGTGGTGGTCCGGCGGAGCAATGATGTCAGTTGGTGGTCCGGCATAACTCAAGCGCGATGTTCGAGGAGGAGCAAGGAGGCAAGAGCGATCTCCGATCTCTCTCTTGAATCTCTTGGGCTTGTGGTCCTTTTTAAAGAGAAAAGGGGCTCTATTTATAGATTTTTGTAGTGGCATGGTCCATAAATAGGTGGGAGATCAACGGCAAATGAGAAGCAGTTGTATGAACGACTGATGTTGAATCCCATGATCATGGACCGTTTGATCAACATTTGAATGTCATAGTGATGTTGAAATTCTGTGATCTTAGGCTCGTTGGATTTGTCTTGTCGAGCCATTCGATTCAACTATAAGTACGTTAAGTTTAGAAACCGTTTGGTAATCCAAATTGAGGTTCGAACCTTCCAACAGTGCTTTTAACTATTGATTTGGACCCATTTGGGCTCGGATTGGGTCGGATTTGGTGTCGTTGGGTTCGTATTCTCGAGACGTTCATTTTGACTATAACTTTACTAAAATCAGAGTTTAGATAGTCCTAATTTTAATTTTAGAAGTTTCCAACTTGATTTTGCATCGAGATTTGTGCCCAATCAAGATAATTTTTTGATGACGTATTAATAATCGATCCAAAAAATAGCAGTAAATAATTCATAATTTGATTTGTAGGCACTATTTAATTTAATTGATAAAAAAGTAAGGTTCAATTTGAATATATTTATGCTTTTAGAAAGAATTTTAATATATTAAATTTATGTTAAATATTTATTGAAAATGATTATAGACATGTGGTAGATAGTTATTGGATGCGCCGCAATTCGAATGTTTTGGCCTCCGCACGAATCCAACCAAAAAGCTCTCTCTCTCTCTCATCTCGCCGCATTAAATAACAATTATAGATGTCTGCTTCGTCCCTCTCGCTTTCACAGCTCCCCTCCCAAAGCCCGCATTTAAACCCTTCACCCACGAGCAACGCACAAACTCATAAACACGAAAGCAGAGAAGCCGAGCAGGCAAATCGCAAAACAGAGATGAACAAGTCATGATTTATTCCCGTACTTTCTTTTTCCACTTTACCCAGAATCAAAACACCTCAGCAGACTGAAAATCTCTCTTTGCTTAAACCCTCAAGCACATAAACCCTCATTCCCTCGGTTATCTCTCGCTGGAGTCAGAAAGGAGTCTCCTTTGGGAGCAAGGGAAGCAGATTCATAGATTCATGGATAGCAGCTACGGCGGCGGGCCTTCCTGCTCGTCTGCGGCGCAGGAGCAGATATCCCGCTTCTTCAGCGAGCAAGTTCCTCTTCCATTCTCTTCTTCTTCTGCTGGATTCAGGGAAAGGAGTGGGTATCCGATCACTGAGAAACTTGAGTTAGAAGTCGAGGTAATGGTGAATGGGCTTTTCTTCTTGAGATGGATTTGGTGGATTGGTTGTCGGGGTTTGCTTATGTGTGCTATTATAGGAGGCGGCGGAGGAGGTAGCGAAGCCAGTGGCGTCGACTCGCAGCGGCTCTGGCTCGAAGAGGAGCAGAGCAGCTGAAGTTCATAACTTGTCGGAAAAGGTGGTAGCTTTGTTGGCTGGTTTCCCTGTTTCTGGTTTTTCTTTGATTTTTGTACCCCCTCAAGCTATTATCCTTCCTTGTCAGAGGAGGAGGAGTAGAATAAATGAGAAGATGAGAGCCTTGCAGAACCTGATTCCTAATTCTAACAAGGTTGCCTTTTGCTTTTAGATTAGTTGTTGGAAATACTTTGTTTGGTTATTTTTGCTTGATTTGTGCTACTACTTAAAGCCACAAAAATTAAAATTGTGCCTGAACAGACTGACAAGGCTTCAATGCTTGATGAGGCGATTGAATACCTGAAGCAATTACAGCTTCAAGTTCAGGTTAGTGGATGCTACCGTTAAAATCCAAACTAGAACTGTTTAAGTTTTTTTATTAGAGCTTTAAGGGCTCATTTGGTTGCTTGTAAAATGCAAAGCAAGCTTCAGAAAGTCATGTTTTTGGCTTTCATTCATTTTTAGAGACAAAATGAAATCCTCACTTTTGAGGAATTAAGATAAAATTCATAGTTTTTTTTTCAAAAAATTGCTTTCTCACTTGAAGAAATCAATGCTATTTTTTTGAATGGCTCGAACTAGCTATAAATTTTGAGGATATATCAGGAACACTTGAATGGCACTTTCTGAATTTTTGTTTAGGCACGCTTCAAATGGAAAAAATTGCAATTTATATTCAATTCTTGTTGTTGTTAAGTTGCCTGAAATATATATATATATATATATATATATATGTTTATTATTCTTCACTATTTCCATTCTAACACACTGTACTATGCCAGGTCCTAAAAAAATTCCTTATCAATATTTTCATTCCCAAAATGCTTTTGGTATATTTGCTGTTTGGCAAAAGGTGCTTTTGATTTCAGTTTGTAATTGAAAATTTATGAACTTGATTGATTTTTGAATGTTTCCATTATGTTAATGTGTTTACCTAAAACTTAAGTTTAGTTTAGCAACAAAAAATATTTTTTTTCAGGTTAGGCCTTTTCCATATGAAGCATTTAGGTACAATTGCTTTTGGATAAATCCCAGCAATCTGTGATTGTATTTTCTTGTCATTGAATGACCGCTTTACGGGTCAAATAGCTTCTACAATGAGACTTTTATGATTTGATGGAAAACTAATTCATTTCTGAATCCCTTAATACTGATTTTTTTCATGAAAAGTACTTTTCATCCTTACTCATAGAATTAATAAGTCTATAGATCAATATGTGGTGACTTGTGGAATCCTCTTTATGTACGTTTGAATTGGTTGCAATAAATTCCTCCACCATTTCACATGTACCATATTGATCCCTTTTAGGATGATTTTTTTTTAATGCTTGATGTACTCCTTTCATTAAGAGTCTATTTTTTTGGTTTTCTTGGCAAAAGCATATATAATTAATAGAAATCATCCATCTATACGCTTCTTTTTTTAAAGCAGTTCATTTTAAATGAGGCTAATGCAACCACGTGCACATACTTGCAACTTTTATCTATACATGAGCTCAACAAAATTGCTCAGCTTTGATGACATAACAATTGAGTGGTAGTATTTTTTCAAATAATAGACTCAAGGAGTCATCTCTATGACATCCTGAAAGTTACTTGCCTTAGTTTTTGCTGTAATTTGTTTTTTTCTGGCAATTGTTGACTCAATGAATGAGGTAATAATGCTGTCTTTGGTAAAATTATTGTGCTTAAGACTGAGTTAAGGGCTTCATGTGACACTGAGTTTGCTGGCTGAGTAAGGATTTAATCACAAAGGTTTGAACAAAGAAGATGATTGATGCTTAAGTTGGTTACTTGGCCTACTGCAAGAGTGTAAATGCTTAGTCGAGTTCAAGCCATCTCTTATTTGAGCTTGAGCTTGGCTGATTAAGCAAGTTTGAGCATGACCTTGAGCTCAATTCTATGAATTTGAACTAGTTCTTTTTTATGAGAAGTAGGAGATGCTTTCGCTTTGAACAGTTGCAATAACAGAATGATAGAATGATTAATCAAACGAGAAATAAGAATGAGTGCGTTTAGATTGTTACTTTCATTTAGATTTTTGATAACTTTGTACTTAAATCCATGCATTTTTAAGTTTATTTTATATTAATTCTTTTTTAAGTGGCTGAGTTATTGGGGTTGGTTCAAATTTGGTTCATTATCTCATTGAGCTTAGTTCATGAGCCGAGTTTAAGCTAGCTTGACTCAATTTAACCCTAGGTTTAACTTCAAAGGATCTCTAAAAGAAATATTATAAATAGTATAGTATTATTTAGTATACAAAAGTCTATAGCCTTTTATTGTTTGAAGGGTTGACTATCACTAAACCTTCTCTTCAACCCATCGATGTGGGTGTTTGAATGACATCTACTGTGGGATGTGTGGGACATTGATCAAGACACCTAGTTTTACTTAGGAGGGAGACAGAAAAAAAGATTTGATGCCAATTTGATGATAGTCCCTTGTTGATGAACTTCTTGGTCTTCTTCTTCTCTTATAATGGCATTGATTTTGTTTATGTTCTTTTTTGAATTCGATCCAGGCGTTTTATAGTATGGTGAGAATTATAGAATCTTGGAACTCATATCATTTTAGGAATTGTATAGAATTTGAAAGGGGATGGTCTTAAATATCTTGGGAATCATATGTAAGAAAAGAGAGATAATGAGGAGAGAGGTAGGTCTAGAGTCTCAAGAATTTCGTTGAAGAGAAAATACATGATGAATTTCTTCTTGGTCTTCTTCTTTGTTATTCTCTTAGAATTGGCTTTTGTTTTGTTTGTACTCTTTTATGAAATCAATCCATAGGTATTTACATAGGAGAGAAAGAGAGAGAGTCGCACAATCTCAGGACTTAGGTCATCTTAAGAGTCATTCCTTCTTTGGAATACAACAAGAAAGAGAAAGATGCGTGGGGGTGAGTTTCATCGACCTTAGGAATATTATAAAAGGAGAGAGGGAGATCATGAAGAGAGATTGAGACCAAGAATCTTAGGAATTCTCGTAGTTAAAGTGAAAATAAACATAGGAGGGAGTTTACAACTTCCATAATTAAGTCTAAGTGGTTAAAATGAAGAAATGTCTTAGGAATGTTATGTGATAAAATAAAATTATGGTGGCTTAAAGTTAAATTTTATAACATTACAATTATGTTGATGGTGTTCTATGAATTCTAATGTTGGGCTGTAAAAAGATATTGATAACTAAGTTGACTGTCACATCAGTAAGAATGCATGGATTCATGACAAAATTAAAAATGATTAATCAAAGAATGATTATACTAGATTAGAGAAATTATTCGAATGACATTTATTGAAGATAAGTGTTGATCTCGCTTTCGTCATGCTCGAGCTCGACCATTGCACACACACCTTGGTTGACCTTGAGTCTTCCAAGTCAATTGTCATGGTACCCATATACTCAACGATTTGGATTCGGACTTCCCAATTAGTTTCACTTTCTAGTCATGCACATCACCACTGGTTCACTCGATCATGTGCATCTCGTTATGATCATGATCGTCGCTCGATCATGAGTGTTTCATCACTATTTTAATTTTGATCAATTGCAAGTTTTGATATATTCATAATCTTTTCGCAATTAAGTTCCAAGTTTAAACATTTGTTCTACTTTACTTTTAAGACTTTATGTTGATTTTTAAATAGTCTATAAATGGATAATGAGTTTTAGTGAATGTTGATCTTGAAGTGGTGGTGATTCAACAAAGCCTAATGTTGAAGACAATAAGCCTTTGTAGAGTCATTCAACTAAGTTGAAAAATCTTCTAAAGGTGGATGATATATTGCATTAAAATGCAATTATTATAATGTCATTTACAAAGGCTCATAGTTTAGAATGAAATGATATTTGTTAAATATTATTGATCATCAAATTAAAATTTGTCCTAAAGCCAATTCATCATAGTTGAATCAAATACAAAGGTAAATTTGCGAAGCTAAGGCAATGACCAAAAGAAATCTTCCTAAACATATATCACTGCTTAATATTTATAGTTCATGCTATTTTGCTTCATCTTTTATTCAAGCTGATGATGTCAATATCAATAAAGAATTATTTATGATAAAAGGATATGAGCCTAAAAAAAAAAGGTGTTGCAGATAGTTATTTGAAGAAGGCTTTTTATTTGCAAATACAAGAACAACATGATGGTTAAATTGCAAGTATGTTTTTTCTTCTAACCTTTCTACCTTTAAGTATTCCTCATTACAAGAATACATTTACATTTGTTTATAACAATATTCTTTTAAGTTATGTGTCACCATGATACAATAACATTAGATTAATGTTATTACAAAGGGATGTTAGTAGAAATCCACTTCACATGATAAAACTGAATGGCGCATGTCACTTGTATCCATGTGACTCTCACCATGTGCACAGTTACCTTATGTAGCCACTAACAACAACACATGTTAGGGCTGCAAATGAAACGAACCGAACCGAGCCGAGCTTCGGTCTGTTTGAGTTTAAACTCGTTTGTCAAAACCATGCTCAAGCTCGGCTTGAAGCTCGTCGAGCTTCTTGGACAACTGTTCGAGCTCAAGCTCGTGTAAAACTGCCATGTTCGAGCTCGGCTTGATTTCGGGTCTGAGCTCGTTTAATTTCAAGCTTGTCGAGCCTCTTATCGAGCCGAGCAGCTTGGTGTTGTTCCCGTTTTTTTAAAAAGTTATATATATATATATATATATAATAATGTTATTGAACATATTTAATATTTATTTTTAATTAAATAAGGCATAATCGAGCTTTTTAATCAAGCATCTTAATGAACATATTCACGAGCTCTAAACGATGTTGTTCGTGAAAATAAACGAGCCAAATGCCAGGTTGTTCAAGATTGTTTATTTAGTTGTCGAGTATTGAAAAGATTGTTCATTTACCTTATCGAACGAACATAAACGAGCTCTCATCGAGTCGAGCTACGAGTAGTTTGTCGAACGCTCGATTTTATTGCAGTCCTAGCATGTGTATAACAAACCTGTATTCTCTAATGCTATATATATACCACTGCTCATATGTTGTAATGATCGAGTGAATGAAATATTTTTCAATTACAGTTTTCTTCTATGCTTTTTTCCTTTTATGTTTCTCTTTACCTTGCTGTGATTTTCAACATGGTATCAAAGCTATAAGTTTCATAGGTTTCTCTTTGTCAAATGGTCGATCAAGATTCGTTCAATGCTCAATCCATTGCCTCTATTTCTGCTTCCATGGCAGAATATTCTATACCATCTCCACTTAAATTACTTATCTCCAATATCAAACTTATATAAACACTCAGCTTGCAAACGACAACTACCCTATATGGCATCTTTAAGTGGACAA